GCGCCTGCCTCCCCGCCGGCCTCCGCGCCTGCCTCCCCGCCGGCCTCCCCGCCGGCCCGCCTGCCTCCCCGCCGGCCTCCGCGCCTGCCTCCCCGCCTGCCTCCCCGCCGGCCTCCGCGCCTGCCTCCCCGCCGGCCTCCCCGCCGGCCTCCCCGCCTGCCCGCCGGCCTCCCCGCGCGCGCGCCGGCCTCCCCGCCTGCCCGCCGGCCTCCCCGCCTCCCCGCCGGCCTCCCCGCCGGCCTCCCCGCGCGCGCGCCGGCCTCCGCGCCTGCCTCCCCGCCGGCCTCCGCGCCTGCCTCCCCGCCGGCCTCCCCGCCGGCCTCCCCGCCGGCCTCCGCGCCTGCCTCCCCGCCGGCCTCCGCGCCTGCCTCCCCGCCGGCCTCCGCGCCGGCCTCCCCGCCGGCCCGCCTGCCTCCCCGCCGGTCTCCCCGCCTGCCTCCCCGCCGGCCTCCCCGCCGGCCTCCCCACCGGCCTCCCCGCCTGCCCGCCGGCCTCCCCGCGCGCGCGCCGGCCTCCCCGCCTGCCCGCCGGCCTCCCCGCCGGCCTCCCCGCCTGCCCGCCGGCCTCCCCGCCTGCCCGCCGGCCTCCCCGCCCCCGCGCGCGTGCCGGCCTCCCCGCCGGCCTCCCCGCCTGCCCGCCGGCCTCCCCGCGCGCGCGCCGGCCTCCCCGCCGGCCTCCCCGCCTGCCCGCCGGCCTCGCGGGGTCTGCCGCACACCCGGACGGAAGGTCCACGCGGGCCTGGGGCGGGTCGATGCAGCCCGGCGCCTGGTAGAACTACAGAGAACCCGGGGGGCAAATGTAGGCGAGACCCTGGAGGGAAGCGGGGCCGGAGCGGCCGACGCGGGCCCGGAGTGAGCTTGGCGGCTGCGGGAGAGAGCTGCCCAGAGGTGCGCGGGGAGGGAGGGGGGTGGCGGGGGGGGGGGGGTGGCCGCCTGGACTGGAGGCTTGGCCCTGGGAGAGGGGGGGTCTCCTGTGACTTGAGTCAGCCCTTCTCCTCTTGGGCCCTGGTTCTTGATCTGTAAAAATGAGGCCTCTGCACCCAGGTGGCGTTTCTACCATTCTTTTTGTGGTTCAAATTGAAACCACAATTTACGGAGCACTAAGCCTATACACACGTACCCCGCGTGGCTAATCCGTTCAGTTCTCCACCAGACACACGGCCAGCCCCGTAAGACAGCCGAGAATCCTCATCTTGTATGTACGCAGCAGAGCTGGGATTTGAACCCAGGTCACCCGTGTCGCTTTGAACCCAGCCACTGAGCTAAGAGAAGCGTCAGTACAAAACAAAGCAGAGGTGTAGTTGAGAGTGTAGACGTGGAAAAGGTAACTTAAATGGGTCTTGTCCTAGCATTTGCCACATTTCCGGGTCCTTTTTTCTCTTCATACTGTGTGCTTTCTCGGTGTAAAATGATCAAAAATAATTACAGATTTTCTTCCATTATCCAAGGCTAGGTACATATTACTGTGAGCTTGGGGGGAAAAAAGGAAGTTCTGATCTAAAGGATCCTTGGGTCATGTCCATTTCAGAGGCAGGATTGTATAAACAGAGCAACCTTCCCACCTCAAAGTTAATTGGACTGTTCCCACACTTGAGATGCTTTGGTCTGGATTCTCTTGTCAGATTTCATGTAGGCATGGGAGTAGAGGGAATTTACATGAACATGTAAAGGCACATTTGACTTGGAACTGATGTCATAGTGGCTAGAGGCAAAAAGATCTTGTGTTACAGACTCAACCTTGTACCAAGTGCACATACAGCACAGTGCAAATGGAGGCATTGCTCAGTTTAACAATTGTCCTATTTGGAAAGAAAGTCAATTCATGGTGAACATCCTTTCACTCCATACTCCACCTCTGACTCCATACTCCACCTTTGTTCTGTTACCATAAGTTCATTTCTCTGAAACTATGAAAGACTCTGAATATATACAGGAGTAGCATCTTGAGTTTGTTTAATCAGATAACAATAAAAGAAAATTGCTACTTGTGGAGAGGCAGCAGCAATGCTTTGGGCCAGCCACCACAGTTCTTCATAGGACCACCTTGTACAGGTGAGCAGGGCTGCCCTGGTGGCCCCTTGGAAGCGGGCATTAGCGGGTTGCAGTCTGTTCTGCAGTGCTCCATGATCGTGCAGGTTGATGGACTGTTGACTCTTGTCTTCTTTGCTGGACTTGCTGGAGCCGGGTCAGTCCTTGAACTGGTGTGAGTGGTATGAGGATTGGGGACAGTCGTTCTCTTCCTCAGTGTACAGTAAAGTGTGGCCCTCACCAGGAACAAAATAGCTGTAAGGTAATGCGTATGGTAACTAGGTAAATGTATTCGACATTGTATTCAACAAGAATATATCTTTTTGTATCAGTTTTTTAAAAGCTGAATGGAAAGGAGTGATTTTTGAAGCTTGACCTTCAAACAGTGCAATAAGTTTACAGATCTTTTTTTGGTGTGTACTGATACATACTTTTGTGCATGTGTGTATGTATGTGTAGGTCCCGGGGCTTGAATTTAGGGCCTGGGCACTGTCCCTAAGCTCATTAATTTTTGCTCAAGACTAGCACTCTACCACTTGAGCCACACCTCCACTTCTGGCTTTTTTGGCGCTTAATTGGAAATAAGGGTTTCACAGACTTCCTGCCTGGGCTGGCTTTGAACTGCAGTCCTCAGATCTCAGTCTCCTGGGTACTTTTGCTGAGATGCAGAGAACCTGAGACTTGAAACCATGGAAACCAGGTGGAGGGGGTGGCTTGTGGTGCTTTGTGGAAAAGGGGAGCTGCCAGAGGACTGTGTAGATTTGTTACGTGCGCTGTTGAGATACTTGGATTCCATTCATATTTGCTTCTTTGATAATGCTATGTAAAGATGAGGGAGGGCCTACCCAGGGGCAGTTCTTAGGCTTGTACACTGGGCGTTGTGTCTGCTATATGGCCCAAATGACATCACTGGAAGGAAGCAGGAGCCGAGCCATGAGGGGCTGATTCCTCTCTGGATTCTCCATCTAGTATGGTCATCAGGTCTGGCTTCCAGTGCTTTGTGTTGTGTGCTCAGTGAATACTTTTTGGAAGAAAGTTGATGAAATGGATCTTGATTGCTTTAGTTCCAAGTACACTGGTTGACAAACCTGTTTTCAGTAACATTCCAGCACACTTGGTACATTCTCATGCATTTGGAAATGGCTGTTAATAGCAGAATAAAACACATGTCATAGAAATGTTCTAGTCAACTACATTGCTCGGTTACTTTCATGGAAATAATGAAATATTTAGGTACATTGCAACTTGTCTTGATTTAATCACAACCAGATGAGAAATAGACTTTTTTTTGGTTATTTCATCATAGTGTTTCACATATTTACTATTTTTAAGTTTTATTTATAAAAATGTAAACAGTAAAGTGAAATAATAATGAATATTTTGAAAACATTTGTCTTCTATAATCATCTGTAGTTAAAGAACTTTTTTTATTTTCTTTTTCTCTCTTTCTCTGTTGTTCGTTTGTTGGCTTGTTTATTGAGATGGGGTCTTGCTATGTAGTCCAGGCTGGCCTCAGCTCCTCAAATGCTGGGATTACAGGCATGCGTGACCAGGCCTGACTGCTGTGTTCCCCTTTAATATTTGTGTATGTTTTACGTAACTTAGTTTAGCCAATATGAAATTCTATAAGGATTCTTTGGTATTATAACAGTAGTAATTATTATTGAGTAGTCACTGCATTTAAAGTTGGAACTGTATTGTTCCATGAATGAATGGTCATTTGTTTCTGGTAGAGTTCTGAATAAGATTGAAGTAGTGACTTTTATGTGTTATATAACATTTGGCTTTATAATTGTCCTTAGTCCAAATTCCTAATAGTAAAATTCTATAAATTTTTTTAATGTTTTTATGAATTTTGTCACATTTTTAACATTTGTGTGCAATATTTATGTATTTGTTTTTCCATAATTTTTTGCTAGCATTTTATCCTTTTTTCTTTGTGCTGGGAATTGGGCACAGGGACTCATTCATGCTAGATATGAACTGTAGACCCTCTGAGCTGCAGACCCAGCTTCCAATAGCATTTAATCTTTTGCATACCTTTTTTTTTTTTTTTTGTAGGTTGTGGGGCTTGAACTCTGGGCCTAGTCGCTGTCCCTGCGCTCTTCAGCTCAAAGGGAGCACTGCTTGAGCCACAGCCCACTTCTGGTTTTCTAGTGGTTTATTGGAGATAAGAGGCTCATTGACTTTCCTGCCTGTGCTGGCTTTGATCTGCGATCCTCAGATCTCGGTCTCCTGAGTAGCTAGGATTATAGGTGTGAGCCACCAGTGCCTGGCTGCATACCTTTTAAAATAATTAAATAAGCCAGGCCCTGGTGGCACATGGTTACTCGACAGGCTGAGATTAAAGATCACAGTTTGAAGCCAGCTCAGGCAGGAAAGCCTGTGAAACTCTTATCTCCAGGTAACAACCAAAAAGCTGGAAGTGGAGTTGTGCCTCAAGTGGTAGTATACTAGCCTTAAGCATGAAGGCTCAGGGACTGCACCCTGGCCCTGAGTTCAAGCCCCAGGACTGGTACCAAAAAAGAAAAGAAAAATACTTAATTTAGAAAAAAAATGCTCAATGTTTTCTTTCCTTAGCACTTCTTTTGTAAACTGTACCATTTATAATCTTTTGCCCATATTTGCCCCCCCCTCCCCCCCCAGAAGCAGTAAAGCAGGTGGAAAGAGTTCTTGGCCCCATGGTTTGGTAGATCATCTTTTTTTTTTTTTTTTGGCCTGTCATGGGGCCTGTACTTTGGGCCTGAGCGCTGTCCCTCAGCTCTTCAGCTCAAGGCTAGCGCTCTACCACTTGAGCCACAGTGCCACCTCCAGCTTTTTCTGCTTATGTGGTGCTGAGGAATCGAACCCAGGGCCTCAGACATGCAAGGCAAGCACTCTACCACTGAGCCACCTTCCCAGCCCCGGTTAGATCATCTTTTGAAGGAAGCTTATTTTGTTATAATTCGTCTGTGCTGCTTTTTCTTGTTACAGACCATTCATCAGGATTTTTCTGTCCGAGGCGCAGTTCAGTGCCCAGGATGATGAACGCTGACATGGATGGTGAGTTCTCTCCTCCCTGGGTTCTGGGCTGTGGATGCCTCTGCCTCCATATACAATGCCACAGGCACAGAAACAGTCTTCAGAGGTGAGGTGTTGGCTGATGTCTGTACTAACGTGCCATCTGGTCTTAGAAAGGAGCCAATGCTACTTCAGGCCTTCACTGCTGTTTTGGGAGTTCAAACTCAGGGCCTTGGGCTTTGTGGCAGTTTCCAGCCCTGTTTTTCACTAGTTATTTCTAGGCTGGGGCCTCGCTTCCTGCCTGAGCATATGCCTGAGCCTCGATCCACCTTTCTGTAGGCTTCCTGCCTGGGCTGTGATCACAGGCGCACACGACCTCATCCCGCTTCCTTTTTATGGACACTTTTCTGTCGTGGTAGCCTGGAACCTGGTTCCCCCATCTCATGTAATCTCCCTTGTAGCTTGGGATGACAGGCATGCACCACTGCCTCCCGCTGTGGGTTGGGGGTGAGGCTGGCCTTGAACTGTGATCCTTCTGTTCTCAACCTCTCAAGTGGCTAGAAGTACAATAGGCATGAGCCACTGGCACTCAGCTTTGGCAAATCATATTTTACTTTTTACATGGTATGTCCTCATTTTTAATGTATCAATATAACTTCACAGACATCTGTACAAGTCAACAAAGATAATGACTATAAAATGGTTGTGCAGACATATACGTGCTACTCTCCTCAAGTGATGCCTAATGATAATTAACAGTGAATCTGAACCTTTTCATTCCAGCAGTTGATGCTGAAAATCAGGTGGAGCTGGAGGAAAAAACACGACTTATTAATCAAGTGTTGGAACTCCAACACACACTTGAAGGTTAGCATGCATTTTGTAGTTTTCATGAATGATGTCCAGCTAACTGAAACTGTAAGCATTTATGTTGCCTAATTTTGTTAGTCTGTATATTTTTTTAAACCCTCACTTCACTAGTTTCCCCCTCCTTGCCTCTTCCTCCGACATGTAGCTCTGGCTGGTGCTTTTAAAGGACAGCTAGGCCTCAAGCAGGTCAGACACTTCCCCTGCCTCTCACATGACGCTATCTTCCATAGGAACTGGCCCTCAGGTAGCCATGTCTACCATGATCAAGCTTGTATGAGAGTGCAAAGAACATGCTAACCTCAGAGATGAAAGGGACTCGATCTGAGGTGCTCTGGTCTTTTCTTCACTTTCTACATGCCTTGCATTTCATTACAACCTAACTGTTGTGGATGCTTAATGAAATTGCGGTTGCATTTTTTGGTGAGAAGTTCCGTTACTGTACCTTTCCAGTGCTTCCCGCTGGAGAGGCAGCGTGTGTGGCTTCCCAGACCATCGGTCAGCCTCGTGCCTCCCCCTCAGACTGTTGCCCACCTGCCCTGCGGGCTGTCAGTGCTCAGGAGCAGCTCTCGCCCCCCTGCATTGATTTTCTTCCCTGGTTGCATTTCCTGTCGTCCCATCAGATTCCCCTTAGCAGAGCCGTTGCCTGACTAGAGCGGCTTCTCCTGTGCTGCTCAGGACTCTTGACCTTTGTCTACCGTTTTCTTCCTGAGGCCACTGTCCACTGTTAGTACACTGTGGATTTATGCTTGCTCCTGACCATGCTGGGCCCCCTGGCTGTGCACTCATGCCCGCACCCACCGTGTTTCTTTTATTTATTCTCTAGAGCACTGCTTGGCCCTTATTGCCAGTATATATTTCTGGAGGTCATTTTTTACAATTTGAGCATTAGGACCTGTGTCTTTGAAGTTTTTAGCTAAAGTAAAAATACAAAATGACTGCATTGCTTGGAAACTTTTTTGCTTATATCCAGTACATGAGTTCACTTGTGCTAGCCAACTACATATTTAGATAGACACTTTATAATAAAGACTTCACAGCTCATGTTGCTTAGGCATTTGTACCTTTTAAGAAATCTACTTTCTCATTTTTAAGAGGTAGCTACATAGCATGAATGGTAACTCTTTTTTACGTGATCAGTGTCTACTGATTTACAGTGTTCCCTCCGCTTGCTGCAACCTTTCTGATCTGAAACTAAAGACAGAAAAACAGAATTGTGATCTCCCTCTGATGAGTTATAAGCACTTTGTAATATAGAATCATTGCCATCATTTTATTGATGTTGGCATTCTTCTTTTTTATATAGATCTCTCAGCAAGAGTAGATGCAGTTAAGGAAGAAAACCTGAAGCTAAAATCAGAAAACCAAGTTCTTGGACAATATATAGAAAATCTCATGTCTGCTTCTAGTGTTTTCCAAACAACTGACACGAAAAGCAAAAGAAAGTAAGGGATTGAGTTCCCTTCTCATTGACGGAATTGCTGCTTCTCCCTCCCTCCCTCTCTTTCCCTCTCTCTCCCCCTTTCCTTCTCTCCATCCCTTCCCCCTCCCTCACTCTCTCCCCCCTTTAAAACTTGGGTAGATTCCAAAAGTTACAGTACCTTTGTTTGTGGCTTCATTGAATATTTATGAAAGTGTCAAATCTAGGCAAAATTAACTACTTAACAGGAGACTTCCATGAGTCTGTGTATTATGTTAGTCTAAGAAAATGTGCAGATGTATTGTAGAGACTTTATAATTAGAATTGCATATATTTATGAAACTTGAAGATGAATGTTTTATTGAATTTGCTTTGATATATAGGCTTAGCAATGTCTTTTACTACACGCTTACTTAGTAAGATATACAAGAAAATAACCATGTTGTGAAAATGTGACCAAAATCATGTACTGAATGCACAGCTTTACGTATGTACCTGTCCGCCATTGTGTGCCTCTCCTCCATCTGCCTCATTCTCCCCATTTCCCTTCTCCTAAGTCAAGATAGTTTCACATTTGTAAAAGTACTTTGAGTAGTAATCACCTGACAGTAACCTGATCTGTAAGTCCTGAAGTTAACCAAAACCTTGCCTAAAGTTTGTCAGTTGTACTTTCTAGTAATAAGATAGGACTGATGATGGTTTCTCTTTAACCATTGAAAACAGATTTGGGCTATAAAGAGGATTTTAATTAGAAACTAAATTATCAAATTGAGATTTGTTTAAAAACAAAAAACCAACTTGCTTTTGCACCAATAACCCACTTTCTATCTGAAAAGATAAGAATTTTGGTTATGTATCGATTAGAAGTAGAAAATCTGGGAGGAATAAATAGAAATAGGTAAAAAATAATGTGATAAAAGTAGCAACCTACTCCAAATGTTTTCACTCCAGATTTGTATTGTCTCTGGCACAGATCTTCCAGGGAATATATATATAAATATATGAAAATGGGTTAAGTTTGACTGATCTTACATATGCCACATGCTATGCTATTCCAGCTCTAGGACTTGGTTGCAAGGTTTATTTGTTGTACCTAGTCAATTAACTGTTACCAAATTCCTTGAAGAGTGTACTAGTATTAGAATCATGAATGAGAGAATTTTATATGTGGAATAATTGGTAAGCTCAGTATTTTTATCTTACTCTGTAAATTCAACTAATTGGTTTGTAGAATTTTACTCATTCTTTTAACAATTTCTAAAAATTTAGTTCATAGATTCCATTTGGTAAAGGAATCACTATCAGAGGTAATATTAAGATATTATACTAGGAAAAGAGATCCACTAATATAGCTTATGGTTATTAGATTTGAACTACTTTAATCATGGGATAATCTTATGTGTTAGTATAAGATTTGATGAATGACTTTAACTATATGAAGATGTAATAGTCATACTGCAAACATTTTGCATCCCTTTTGTGACCTAATTTTACAAATATTTAAAATTGTGTTGCATTTCTGCTTTGCTGTTTAATAAAAAGATGTTTCAGAGATTGTGTGTGTATGTGATGTAGTTGCCTAAGTGAACGGGATGTGCAAGAGTAGGGGTGTATCAGGGTGGTTCAGTGTTACCAATCTTATTCCAGTAGTTACTGTTAGAGAAGTGGCATACCTATAGACAATTATCACGGGATCTTACCTATCAGAGCCACTCAGCTCTGGGCTGTGATTTCGGGGGCGTCAGATGATGGGCAGGGATGGTGTCCTTGTTTTGCTTAATACCATTTTGAACCTTCACTGCTTATTCCAGGTTGATAAGCCATTGGCTGTTTTAATCCTGTAGCGCTTCTCATAACTGAACTGCTTCACTTCCATCTCTGCTTAGACATGGGTCAGTTCTTTTCATGACTCTTCACGGCCCATTTCTGCCTTCTTTGGCTGCTGTTTCCTGCTGCCGTCAGTCAAGTAGGTGATGAAAGGCTGAAATCCACGTGTTACGCGCTTGTTCTGCAAAAGCCAGCGGCACGTTTTTAGTTTTTGATATGGCAGTACTTCAGGATATCAATGTCTGTGTTGGAAATATAGGTGGCAAATAGTATGTCTAGCTTCTCTTTTGGTGGCTCTGAGCTTTTTTTTTTTTTTTCATGTAGGCCTCGTCTTTGGTCAAGTTTTAGCTAGAACCCTTAGGAATCAGTGACTATCTGCAGTTTATGTCACTATGCATTTGTGGAGTACACAATTCTTGAGTGTTTTGGGTGCACTAGGAATCATGCCTGATTTCTTTCCTCAGTTTTGACACTTGACACAGATCACAAAAACAGTGAGAAGTGTCCATGTTTAATAAGGCCTATCTACTGGTATATGGTGAAGGTTACTTGTTGGCAGAGGTGTCCTTCCAGCGGGAATCCTAACACATGAGCTGTGGGAGTTGAGTTCGGAGGCAGATCTCATGAGTGGTACTCTGCATGCGGCATGCACTTGTAATTCCAGCTACTTGGGAAGTATAGGTAGGGCTGTGGTCCAAGGGCCCGTCCAGGCCAGAGCAAGAAACCCTATCTGAAAATATAACTCACGGGAGGCGTGTGAGTTCAAACCCAGTACTGGCAAAAAGGACAAAACTCTTGAGAGTTCTCTTGCTTTAAGATAGCAGTTGACATCCATGCAAGTCTTCACCATAGCCCAACTTCATTGACACAGATCTCACTTTCAACACCAGAACTGAGAAAAAGGAGAGATGACTCAAAATCTAAATGAAAAATTGGTCTTAATTCTTTGAAGCGTAAAAGACGTAAAGTTTTTGTGTTTTTTTTTTTTTTTTGCCAGTCACTAGTGGTGATCGTCAGATAATAACTACAGGAGTAGTTATCATGACTTGTAAATCATGCAAGAACAGAAGTCATTATGTGGGAGACTGCAAGAATTGGAAGAAAGACTTACTGACTCTGAGCTGCAGAAAATGATTTCCCTGGAATCAGGGAAATGTTCATCCTATCTTTTACATTTTATATTTGTAGTTTATATATTGTATTCACTTAACACAAAACATGTGATATTATGTTCAGTATTAAAAGTCCATTTTCCCTCGAACTACTCTTCGATGCAAATGCACGAAGAACCAACATTTCAAATGTTCCCAAATATGTCTGCCTCCTGTTAGTGTGCTAGAGTTGGCTCATTTCACTTCCTCAATGTTTCATACCTGCCTGAAGATGGAATAGCAGGGGAACTATATATACGTTGGGAAGAAATTGAAATTGAGCTATGCCATTATGTTCTAAATATATAACAGATTGATTAGGTTTTCTTTACTGATACTACATCTCAAATCTTACCGATAGCTAAAATGAAAAAGCAAAAAAAAAAAAACCCAACCCCATAGATTCTAGAATGTAATAGATTCATGTTTTCACTATGGCGGTCCATGAGTTTTCAGCCGCTCTGAATTCATTGGTAGTGGCTGATCTGCAGGTGAGCCCTTCTCCTGTGTCTGCTCTGCGAGGAGGTCAGGTGAGGGGAAGAAGGGACCCTCAGCAGGGCTGGCCAAGGCGTTACTGCCCCACAGCCATGATGGCTAGTGGAAAACATTTCCAGGGGAAGGGTAGTTTAGACTGCTGAAGTTAAGACACTTCTGAAAGTGTAGCTTAAAATGCATGTAATTTTCTCTTTTGTAGAGAAAAGGAAAAAAATTCCAATGTTGATTGAAGGCCCTTTAAACAATGAATTCAGATGAGGGCAAGAAAGGATGCCGCCTCTTGGGGAGCCGGCCCAGCCCCACCAGCCGGAGGGGAAGCGCAGGAATTAGCGGTGTCTGCTTCTAGAGTTGAACCAAATGTTCAAGGCAAACTAAGACAGTGAAAATAGCTTTTATTAATCCTTAGGAAAATGTGTACACAGAATGCACTTGTCAGGCAAGGTTTTCATAAAGCTAAGGATGTTCCTCCTGAAGTCAGTGCTGAGTAGAGAAAGTCTCAGGGAGGTATTCAGTGTCTAGTTCAAAGCAAGAGCCTAGAGGTAGTGCTGGCAATATGTGCTGTTAGTATTAAGTCAGTACAAGTCCTGGTTCTCTGTGTTATTAAAATGTGTGGAAGTTGCGTGAGCAGTGGAGTCTGGATTCGCTGTGACATGCAGCAGCAGGGTTACTGCTGCTGTCAGAGGTCAGAGCTTGTGCTGCCTGTAGGCCAGTGAATGTCCCTGGGAGGGAGCCTGCAGGGGGCGTGGCCAAGGCTGGGGTCTGGGAGGGAAGTCAACATTGTATAGACTGTATTAAAGCAGTTCTGTGGGCTTAGAGTTAAATCATCTCTCAGTAGTAAGCATGCAAAGTTCTTGAACGGATTTAAAGTGGGAAAACAGCTCCACTGTAAGTTGGTTCAGGGACTCTTGATAGCCGCTATAACGAGGAACAAGCAGCATCTGCTCCTTCCCCCTCACCTGAGGTGGCTGGGGGTGGCCACAGACTGGAGATCTGCTTGTAAGGAAAAGTCATGAGAAATGTAAAGTGCACGGTATTGGTGTTAGCCATTAGAATCTCACAGTGATCCTTTAAGCCACTTCAATAACCCGTATGCAAAGAAGGCATTCTTTAGGAAAAAAACACTATTTGAGATTTGTCTTCCAGAGCAGTGTAAGCACAAGCAGTTCTGGGAATGGGATAACCACTCTGGTAAAAACTATACGAAACTTGAAGAAAATCACACATCATTTGGTCTTGAGAAACTATCAATGTATTCAAATGTCAGATATGCTGCAATATTGCCCAGTGATTCTTCCACATTTGCTTTTACAGCTGCCCAACAGAACACCTCTGAAAGTGAATCAGTCATTTTTGTGAACTGAATATAAAACTGCCCACTAGGTGGATGTGGGTCTCAGATACTCAAGTAGCTGATGGGTGCAAACACCATGCAGAGGCTTTACTGCACTTGCTCTGTACAGCAGCACACACATTTTATTATAAAATCACCACCTATCTCACTGGATTGACATAGAAGTAGAAAGCCCAGTAACTGAAGCCAGCAACTGATTTTTTCCAAATCAGTGTGGTTGCTTCACAGTACTTTGTTCTGTAAAAGAAACCCAAAGTACCTTCAACTATTAAAACTAATTTGTAATGACATCCATCTCAAATCTGATGTGTAACTTGCCACTCTTTTATTCTAAATACAAAGACTGTTTTCCCCCCTCATAAGAAAGACTAAAATAAATCTCCAAGAACAGGGTTGCAGGTCTGTTGGAAGCTGGGGCAGGTGGACAGGGTGTGGCACACTCCCTCTAGAGTCCGGACCTCTCCCGGGATGACTCGAGCTCAAGAGCAGCGCTCAGTCCTTGCGCACCCTCCGCTTGCGCAGCGACTTCACCGGTCCGTCCCCAGAGCCCGTGCTCTCGTCCGCTTCTTTCATCTGCAGAAAGCAATTTTGGAAACATTTAACAGTAAACAACATCCTTGGTGCTGTGTGGGCCTGATGAAGTGTCTGCAAGCACCGTGTACACCACGTCTCTAAAGGTGGCACTTAGTGTCACGTCAGTTAGTGAGGATGTGCTAAGCAGCGGCGGGTGGTCAGTGCAGTATTTATCTAAGGAATGAACTGCTGACTTGCTTTGTCCAGAGCATTTTTCAGAAATTTTTGTACACAATTCTGCCAGACAAATTAGAAGAGAGGAAAAGAAATGAAAATACCCAATTTACTGCTTTCTAGGTTTTCCTTTTCCTTTTCTCAGAATGTGATTGTACAGCACACAGACATCTGGAGCAGAGTATTTTATAATTTTATGAGTTATTTTCAGCTCAGGAGAGGCTAGAAGGTGGAAGTAAGTTACATGAAGTGTTTTGAGATGTGCAGGTAAGCCGGGATGCATGGGAGCATGTCTGAAGCAATGCCAGATGTCTGCTCCGGATGAAATTTTCTTACCCTACTCCTCTGTACTTGGACATTTCTACTGGACAGTAGGTCCCAAAGTCTCTCAAAACTCTTAAGTTAGTTGAGACTAGTCACCAGGGATATGTACTGAGCAAGTTCAGAACACAAGCCAACAGCACCGAGTACACTTAACACACCAGCAGGGCAGCACTGGCCCTACTGGGCCACAGCCATTCTGCAGGGCTGGAGACGCAGACCACACCGGCTCCTGGCTTCTGTGCGTGCGAGAAGGCTGTGCTCAGCCATACCCTGCCTGACTGGAGATGAAAAGGCCCTGTGGACACTTCCATCTTCTGTCAGATCAAAAAGGAGTGCGTTCATTGAAAGATTTGAAAGCACACTGGCAGGTGTTGCTCATCTACTCGGCGGATGGTATATTTCAAAAATGTTTCAAGACATGTATTTACAAAAGCCACAGAATTATCTTGTATCCATAAGGATTCTGTTTCAGATACCCAAATGGTCTGTGTACTGAACTCAGGGCCTTGCCTGGCTTTTTCACTCAAGGCTGGTGCTTTACCATGGATGCCACACCTCTACTTTTGGCTTTTTGTTGGTTTGTTGTAGATGCAACTCTTATGGACTTTTCTGCCTGGCTGGCTTCGAACAGCAACAATCAGATCTTAGCCTCCCA